CATGGACCACGAACCGCCCTGCACTCGAATCTCTAACCTTGCTTTTGCAGTAAATGCTGCAGGGTCGGAACATACCCCCGGGAACCCCAGGGGTGGCACCCGCAAGGCACCACTGGAACAGGGCGCCCGCAGGGCACCAAGGCGCGCGCAGTGCACCACAAGCACCGCCATGACACCATCAATGGAACGCGCCCGCATGGCACCCGTGAAATGTGCAGAGCGTGAGTTTATAGACGTGCCGAACGCGAAGCGTGACGATTATATAACAAGGGCGTTCCTGCAAATTGGCGTTGCCAGCGGTGCGTGTGCGTGTGTGTGTGTGCTTGTGTTTGTGTTTGCGTGTGTTGTTTGCGTTTGTGCGCGTGCGTTTGTTTTGTGACATTGGCAAGGACGATTATATAACAAGAACGTTTGTGTGCGTGTGTTTTTGTTTCTGTTTCTTTTCCTGAGCCCGACCAGTTTGCTGTTTCACACAGGCCTGCTCTTCTGCGGCGCAGGGGCTGCGTCGCCGTGCGCTCTCCGAAACTCAACCAAGACCCTCCACATCCAATTCCACCTGTGGGCGGCAGCACATACCTTTTTCAAATATCCGTTCAATTGCTCGTCGAACCAGGCGCCGTACGCAGATGGGGACCCAGTCGCATACACGGAGTTCACAAGATGGCAGCCTTGGTGGCGTTTGGGTTTGAATTTGATGTCCAACTCTCTGGCGATCCTCAAATGAATTTTGTACTCGTCGCAAAACGTTTGCACTTCCGAAGCCGACCAATTGCCTTTGTTCGCTTTGAGAATGCCAAGCATTCGACACAATGCCTGGCCGCACCGAATAACACTCGAATACATAGGGAGGTTCTTGACACTCGGCAGCGCTAGCACTTCAGAAACAACAAATATTAGCAGTGCGTTCGTTTCCGCCCCTTTTTTGAACTCGCCTGATCCTTCTAATCCAAACATGTTGAATGTTAAGATTTGGATATCTGCATTGATTATGCCAGCCTTTCTCTCTACCTTGAGCCATGCAAACAACATGGCACGAATGCGGCCGAGTGAATGCGCATTCGCCCCATCTTTATTTGTGGACGGACTGGCAAACACATTGTGACCGAATAGCCACCAAATGCAAAAAATCAAATAAAAACCGAACACGCCAAGGGACAGACAGTGCAGCCAGTCGACTGCCACGCTGCCTGGATGCATGTATGTTTCCGGACAGAAAATAGGACACCTCCTCCGCACCGACGTTTCTTCGGACCGCCTCCAGAAGAGAGCCCAGAACGGTTTGTCCTTCCCGTCGAAGTCCAAAATGTTAGGCATGTCACGGTGGGGCTCGACGCGATCTCCTTTCTTGAGGCCGAGTTCTGGAAGGTCAACCATGAGACAACGGCCTCTGTTGCCGTGACTTGTCCTGTCGTACTCCAACGATCCACGGAGCCGTGGGAAATTATCTTGCGTAACAAGTATCCAAAACTCGCAGCGGTTGCAAGCATCGTCGTACTTTTCAAGGGTATGCGGCTGCCATGGCATATCGCCAGTGCAGGATAAGCCAGCAAATGTATCCCAATTATCATGATTACACTCGCACACTGGGCAGGGGTGCTCGGTTGTTCCGAAGGATGGGAAACCGTACATTTTCGTAGACTCCACCCAATCATGTTTCAACCACAGCACGACAGCCTTCTCCAACTTTGATTTGGAGCACGCTGCCTCCAGTGTCTCAGACTCTCGCCAGTCAGCTCCGTCATGCCTTTTGGCTGGGGCAATTCCAGCAGCTAGCGACATCAAGCTCCAACGCATCGCCAACTGGAGCACGTAAACCGAATGCCATCCCCTGCAACCGCAGGAACAAAGATCAGACTTCCGCATCACAGCGCAAACATGACGCACGCCTGAAATAATGTTATACACCCACAGCGCAATGCAGCTATCTGTTCGTGTGAAGCTGAAGCCGTCAGTGTATACTGCGAGCGGCCATACGCGTTCGCCTTCGGGCGAGGCGCGCACAACGTCGTGGCTGACATATACTGGAGGGAGGGCCTTCTTAGATATAGCAGCCTCGAGCCTACCCTGGAGCGACGGATCCATTTTCAACTCATTCTGGATGCAGACGTGAGGAGGAGAACACGGCACATGCAAGGTCACCATGGATTGGTCCGCTCTGCGAGTGGACGGGACATCGAGCATGTAGAATTGTTCGTCCTTGCGTCGAGTTCCGAGCACCGAGTCCAAGTGTTTATTGTATGCACCGCTCTGCTTACCAGGACCAAACGAGAGAGCCTCAACACTTTTCGCACCAGCCTTTGTAGCCCAGTACGCAATCACACATAAGGTATTTGCATGCACCGTGGCACCAGTCTGTTTCAAGGACACGAGATACTCGAGCAATGTCTCACCACATTCTTGAAGGCTCAAACTATCAATAGCTTCACCGTCATCGCCCAGCCCTCTGGGTGCATCCCACCAGGCAGCCTTGTCCCAACTATGTAAGGTTGCCATTTCTTGTAATGGAGAAACTGGTACCCGAGCCCAAGCAGTTACCGACTGAACAGGGGAGGAGGAAGAGAGGACAGAAGGAGGAATGGATGCGTAAGGTTCTGGGAGACCCCCAATAGGTTCCCCACGCCCCTTGGACATCAGTTTCACTCCCCCCCCCTAAGGATCCTTAGGGGGGGGGTGTGAAGGACGTTGTTTGCGAATTCGAATTGATTTCACCTGCCGCTGATCATGCTGCTCACTCTGATCATCCTCCACGTCTGTCCAACCAATCCTTCCTCCCACTACGCCTCCTCGCCCTCCTCCTCCTATACAGTTTTCTGCTTTACCTGGGAGGGGCAGCCTAGCATAGAACGTCATTGAAAATCATTGAAAAGCATTGAACGTCATGGTGACCAACATCATTGAACATCATTGCCATTTTGAGGGGATGTCTCTGGCGAAAACGTCATGGGCCTAATTTCTTCCTGGACTAAAATCATTGAAGATCATTGGAAATCATGGGGCTTACACCGAGGTGATTTCCCGAGAACGTAGCGATAGTTCGATATATGATTGCGTTGTAGTTGAGTTTCGTTGTTGAGGTCCATGCGATCTGTGTTTTGATAGTTTTCTTCGTCATGGCCGGTCTCCTTGACCTGAAAAGTCGGTCGACGATGCATCGCTCGAATGCTTGTTCAGCGCGGGCCCTGCCGCACTCGATCAAACGACGCCGACCGATCCCCTTGGCCAGCATCGCGCCCCCACTAACGTAAACAGTGGCACCTCAGGCTGCGATGGAGGCCTCATACACCCTCTTGCAACGGTTGGTTGCCTCGACCAGCTTCGCGACGAGGGAGTCCAGCTCTCCCGAGCGGTTGGTCTCATCCACGATGTCGGTCGCCTCCAGGTTTGTTTTGGCCCACTTCTGGAAGTTGTCCGCCAGGCCGACGTTCGCCCAATAGGGAGAGCTCTCGAGGAAGGTCTCCACTGCCTTCCTTGCCTCACGGAGGTCCTGGACCATCCCATCTCCTACAGCTTTCTGCCAATCCGCCTTCGTGGAAATCGCCTGCGTGACATCCTTGCAGCTTTGCTGAGCCTTGGACGCATCCGCATATGCCTTCAACGCCTTGGTGAAGGAGAACTTGGCCGCCTTTCGAGGCTGCCCAGCATCGGGTTGAGCTCCGCGCTGCCTCTTAGTAGGATTCGTAGTCGGCTCCTTGCCCTTTGGAGGGGTGCGCGTCTCCTGGCCCTGCTTCGTCTTCGGGGTCTCCGTGGTCGGCTCGGCTGCGGACCCTGCGGTCTCCGTGTCGTACTTCTTGAAGATCTTCTCCGTGCCCTTCGTGCGCTTGAAATTGCTGTCGACGTACTCGTCCAAGTGAAGAAACTTCACCCTCTCGCTCTGCATGTCGGTCTTGATGAACGGTTCGCCAACAAACATTTTCCCCGCTTGCATGAGTTTGAAGCAGTTCTTCACCACGTTCAGTGCCGCCTTGTACGCCAGCTCATCGTTCCCCTCGTCGCTCACGATGATGCTGAACGGTTTGTATTTGCCCCGCTTGCCCCGAGTGGTCGAGTCCTCCTCCTTCTCCGTAATCTTCTCCTCGATCAGCTTGTTCAACGTGTCCTTCACCCACTTCTTCTTGAAGTTCCTCTGCCGATCCCTGCCCTTGCACTTCCCGTGGTCCCTCTCGAGTTTCTCGTCGTTCTTCATGGCAGTGGCGAATTTCTGGCCCATCGCCGACCTCGCCATGATCTCGCCACCGTGCAGCGCGTCCTTGAACTGTCGGATCAATGCATCATCATCGTCGTCTTCCTTGCTGTCCTCGGGAGCGGGAGGGACCCCTGCGGCGACCATGTTCTGGTAGATGCTCTGCGCTTTGTCACCAGCCTTCCCAGATGCCTCGACGTCGCCGTGATCGACTGGAGGCATTCCTGCCAAGAGCTGCATGCTGACGATGTCGACTTCATCCTCCATGGACTCGCCATCGGACATGTGCTCAGCCGGCGTGCTGCCAACGCCTGTATCAGCATCGGCGCCGTCTTCCTCATGCTTGACCATGGGCTTGCTATACACGTCTAGCAGCGCCTCGCTCTGAGCAAGGATCTCATAGCGAGAAGGGTTGGACAACTTATCTGGAAGCATGTCCCAATCGTAAGCGTCAGCAGCTGTCATGGGCTCTTGGGGTGGCGATGGGATGTCGGACATCATCGGGACAGCATCTGCGGACATGTTGGCGCTCTCCGAGGCTGGTCGATGGTAGTTGGGTCCCAAGTCGTAAACTATATACTTAAGACAAAATGGCTACGGAATGGAATGTTAGTTTATATCCAGGGGCTGTAGTTATGTTGAGGTATTGTTTTTATTGGCGTTTTTCTTGCTCGATGTTGTTGTTGTTTTTTTTGGGGGGGGCTTGACTCGTTTGTGAATTATTCTCATGTTTTGTGATCGCCCCCACACTGAGAGATGCTCACATCTCCCCGAAATCGTGTCTGACAGGCAAGCGCGACGAAGCTCCAACACATCCAGCTCAAAGCTTGATCGACTCCTGCTCGCGCTGGCTCCTGACCTTCTCGAGGTGCTCCAGCCACGCGGAGTCGTCGCTGTCGCCGTCGGAGTCGACCTGGACCACTACCTCCTTGGCGTCGCTTTCCCCGGTCGGAGAAGACGACTTGGGCTTCTTGCTGGGCTTCGCCGCGCTGGAGGCTGACGCTTCTCTCTTCGAGGCCGCCGGTGCACTGCTGCTGGACGCCGCCGCCGCCTCGCCGCTAGACTGGGCTTTCGATGGGCGGCTGAGCGATGCCATGAACTCGTCACGCTTCGCCGTCAACGAGTCGCGCTCGAGCAACCCGAGGATGTAATTCTGCAGTAGCCCGACCGTCTTCGCCATCACGTCCTTGCGGTATGCGCGCGTGCTGTCGCGCCCAATGATGACCTGGAGGATCTGCTTCTTCTTGCCAGGCGCATCCTCGACGATGTTGTCAGAGTGGACGAGAATGACCAAGCCAATAGCCTTGTCGACCTTCTTCTGGATGGTAACTTGAGCGCCCGTGTCAATATGTTTGCCTGTCCACAGCGTCCCCTTCGTCTTCTCGAAGCGGATCTTGGTGTTCACCTCGAACTCCTCGTTCGTCATGTCCACGATCTCCTTGACGTCTTCCTCGGAGAACTTCGCGATGATGAAGCCCTTCGGGTCGCTCGAGCTGACCTCCACGTCGTCCGTGTACTCCTTCTTGTTGGGCTCTGCGAGCGGCGCCCTGAAGGCTTTGCAACCGTCAGCGTCCCAACCGTGCACGTACTCCGTTGCTGGTTGAACCCCGTCGTCCTCAGCGGCAGCTGTACCTCCTTCTGGGCCCCCGTCGTCGTTGCCGTCATCGTGCGAGCTGCCGTCGTAGAACTCCTCGTCTTCCTCCTCGGGGTTCTCGTCGTCGCCGTTGGGCTGGGCCTCCATGTTCATCATCTGGACAACCCAGGCGGGCGGGGCCGCTCTGTGCCTCGCCTGCGAGATGTGCCTCATCATCTTGTTGAGTCTGTTCCAAGTGACTGTCACTCACTCTTTCTGCTGATCTCCAAGAACCAACTCGAGATCCTTCAGCGCCTCCTGGAAAACCGATTTCTTGAAGGACAGTCCGCCGAAAGTTGTGTCCAGCTCCTGCCACATGTTCGTCAGAACGGCGATCTTTTTGACCTCGAGCCCCCCTGTTCCTGTCTCGGCGCACGGCGGTACGCTGCTCGGACTAGTGGTGTGCTTCTTCAAGACCTCCACGAGGTCCTCCTTGGCAGCTGGCCGACATGGAGCACGGCCCGCCATTTCCCTCGAAGAGCGAGCCGAACCCCGAACACTCGCTTGAATCAGTATGGCCGCGGACGTCACGGGAGCTCTGGGAGGCTTCTCGGGGCTCCAGGGGCACTCTGAGGGAGGCCACGTCGTCGGGGCTCTGGGGGGCTTCTCGAGGCTTCAGGGGCACTCTGAGGGAGGCCACGCCGTCGGGAGCTCTGAAAGGCTTCTCGGGGCTTCAGGGGCACTCTGAGGGAGGCCACGTCGTCGTCGTCTTCGTCGTCGTCATCGCAGGGCACCAACCATAGGACACCAGGGAAGGCAACGATACATCACGAGGGAAGGTCGCTCTCTATCTCTATCTCTCTTTCTCCCTCTCCCCCTCTCCCCCTCTCTCATGTCAATCCTGGTGGCAGGGGAAAGGTTAGGTGAGGGGGAGTTGTTTTTGTTTTCCTAGTCTTTCCCAGTCGCAACGAGCGTTCACTGTTCAAAGTCAACGTATGTTAAGATGGTCTTAATATATGGACCCGCTTCTCAATTTTAAGAACCATAGCTTCGCCTCTTAATTTAAGTAGCCAGGCACCTCTGTGAAGGAGCGGGAAGGGCCCACCACTGGACATACCTTCCCAAAGCGCGGCACCCCAACACGACGTTATCGGCCCAAGGGGCTGCGCTGGCGGACCCGAAGTCGCCGCTGGTCTCGGATACCCATAGGTTTGCAAAGATTAGGAGGGGGGGGGGGGGCTCCCAGACACCCGAGATGCTTGAGATGGTAGAGCGCATTCAGCCGCTGGAGTGTTTCCACAACAGATCCTGAGGGACATTTCACATAGGTACAGGGCCTCGTCAGCGACATCCGTCGACGGTTTTCACATGAGGAATGTCAGCAGACTTTCTGATGGAGGTTTGTTGGCACTGATGCCTCCTCTTACTCTGCGATGGAGGCGGCCACCCTCGCGCCGAATGAGGTCCGCGCGAGCGTGGTCCCACTGTTGGCCAAGCCAGCAGGCGGTTGGAGACCCATAGGTTTGCCCAGCAGCTCCGACCGACTCTGGGGCAAGATCAGAAGGCCAGTGGCCTCTGCTTGGGAGTCCTCATAGCGGGCCCCCTACCTGGCCGCAGGGCCCGTTTCTGGAGCTTCAGACGCTGCTTGGAGGCAGGCGGTGAAATCGGAGCTCGCTGTTAGAGCTGGACCCCTGCAGAACTCGAAAGACCTGAAAGAAGAGCCTCAAAAAGCACGACACGCAAGATAAAAACATCGTTTGCCCAGTCCTGTGGGATCGCATGAAGTTCAATGAAGCGAATGGCCTTTCCATATTCGCCGACAGATGTGACTTGCTGGAGTTTTCTAACCAATTATTCCGTTAGCATGGCCGCGCACAAAGTCCCTCGGATCCTCGCGATGGCCAGCGCGGTACACGGACCGCAGTTTGCAAGCTCAGGTGTCACCGCAGTCCGTTATTCGGCCACGACGCATGCACGAGTGCATGTCGCACCCACTTTCGACTGCATTTTGTTTCCTCGGGGTGCGCCCTTGGATATTTACGCACATGGTTGCGGCATATCCTCGGCGGGCAACGCAAAGAAAGTCGCGCGCGACATCGCGCGCGCTGCCGCCCAGCTCTACGCAGGATTGACGGCTAAAATGCAAGTGAAGGTAGCACAGGGCAAGGCCTCAGTGATTTGCTCATCACGTAGGACAGGGGAAGCGGACAGGGTTGCTCTCGGAGAGTACGGAGGCGCTACCTCTGCAGAGTCAGCAGCCAACCTGGGCGTTGACGATACGACGGGAAAAAGCAGGAGGAGAAAAGGTAGAGGGCAGAAGCACAATCAGAGAGAGGAGATTAAAGCAGAGGACGAAACGCTTCAAGAGGGCCAAGCAAATATTGGGTAAGCATCGCCGCAGTATCTTCACGAGTGGACCGTCAGCAGGCCTGCGCCACGGGTCCGAGGTGCATGGGCTGTCAGTCATCGAGATTTCAGTGGCCGGGCGTGCTGCAGGATCTGTGTTACGGCCTTCTGCCGGCATGGGGCCCCTCACCTCGCTGCTGAGTTTACACGGCGATCCGACATGGCATGGTTCAGTCGCACCAGTGGTGCGCTACGCCAAGGAGGTTTTCTCGAGTCAGGTCAAGTCGTCGCCCCACACCATATCTTCTCAGGTCATCAGGGAAGCTTGGGAGTCTGCTTACGAGGTCCCCAAGACAGAGCTCGCTGGGAAAAAAGTTCACTGGTCCTCTCTGGGCACTCCGCATGAGCCTCAGACGGATCCAATGGGACGTGCAGAATTCCTGCGTTCTTACCGACGATTTTGGGGAGACCGGTTTTTAACCGCATGCTCCCCAGCTCTGGTCAAGATGTTATTGCACGAGTGGGGTCTTGAGGCAGCTCCAGAGAGTTCCAGGGAAAGTCCACGAGGTGCAACGTCGGGTTTGTCATGACATAGCGTCGTCTCGGCTTCGATCGTCTAGATATTCATTTTACGAGAGAGGCTGCATCAAGTCCCTGGTCTGCGGTGCTCTTTGGACACGAGGGCGAGCGCTCGACTTAGGGTACGAGTTGCAATCAGCTCAGTGTCCTTTAGGATGCGGCGCTCGCGACACGGTATTCCATCGACCGTGGGAACGCAGCGCGGTCGTGAGCAAGAGACGCGAGCTGATCGATGATGATGAGATGATCCCGACGGCTAGGGAAACCGATCGGACTGATGCTAAGGAGACGTTGTTTTTCCTCTAAGGATCTATTTGGGCACCTTGGAGACAAGCTCCCACGTCCTCGCCAAGAAGGGGGCATCAGCATTCGCGCGCCAGGGGGGGGGGGCGGAGAAGTCACCGAGGCGCCTGGCCAGGTTCGAGAAAGTATATACCTGGATGGGTCCTGCACCAGGCACCCCATTAAGGAGCTATGCAGGGCCGCATGTGACAATGCACAGGTTCCCCAGGGAGTTCAGGAGGAGACCTGCTCGGTATTTGAGCCGATTTGGGCTCCTCTCCCACAGTCCCCTCAAGCGGGGGGAGTTTGGAACCTTTGCCATGGCTGCTCAGAATCTCAGAGGCCCCTCGGAAGGATTCTCGGACAGCGCGAACGTGGTGAACACGGTCGCGCTCCATCCAGAGGACCGGTACTATTATAAGAAAATTCATGCGGGTACCACTTGGACAGCACATTCTAGTCTTTCGAATGCGGTCAAGAAAGTTAAAGTTCACGTTGCTGGCAACCCAGATGTAACCCAGAACGAGCGCTGGGATACATTCCAGAAGGATGCTGCTGATCGTGCGGCCCGTCAGGGGTTGCTAGTTCACCCTTCAGGATCAAAAGAAGACTTGGGGGAGGTAGACCGCCAAGTGAAAGTGTCCAGAACTGCGCGTCTCCTCGCGGCCCGTCTCTTGCCCCTGTGGCGTCCTTGAACCTCCAAGGCTGCATGAGGACACGTCGGGGGCCAGAGCCCCAGGTGCCCCTGGCCTTCGGGGTCCAGCACGATGGGGAGTGGTACCGCACATACTGGAGATGCAGCACATGTTTGAAAGCTCGCAGGCCAGATGTGCTCATTTTTGAGGAGAGATCGGCGCCGCCAGCACAAGGCTGCTCAAGCTCGGTGCCAGAGGCGCTGCTGCAGGTCAAAACGTAAAGGTACAGACTCTTACATGTCGACTGCAGCGACGACTCCCCGCTGTATGTGTGTGCGCGATGTAAGGCAGTCTCGACGCTTGGCCCATTGGCATTGCTAGCTCGAGATTGTCGGCAGCCGAAGCGCAGCAATCTCCAGAGATGGAAGTATCGACTTTTGAAGGGACGACACCCAAAGCCAGACAAGGTGGCTATATTGGTGTCGCCCGAGATTTTTGAGGTTCCAGAAGTCGAGCCTGAAGAGGAGCGGCAGCAGTCGCAGGAGTTGCGATAGACGCTCCTGCTACAGGACGATGAGAGGCCGTTGGTCCCTGCTGCCCGCGTTCTCCTCGCTGAGTCTAGCGACTCCGATTGGTTCCCTGGCCTTCCTCGGGGCTTTCGTTTCCATGTTAGCCACCGCCAAGGTCATTAGTTTCCAAGTGGCGAAGACATCAGCTCGCCACTAATTGTCGTGTAACAAAAAACAACCTCCTCCTCCTCCTCCTCCTCCTCCTCCTCTTCCTCCTCCTCCTCCACCACAACAAAAAAAATCGATGGACGTCCTGGAGCTCGGGGCTCCAGGGTAAGGGTTCTTGTGGTCGAGCCTCCATTGTAGTTTGGGCGACCCGTCAGATGGAGCCGACCCGTACGTTTTGGCAGAATTTCACCGGGCGCATGCGGAATCCGCCACGCATGGTCGTTCTCTCTCTCTCTCTCCCTCGTTCTCTGTCGTGTCCCCTCCACCTCCTTCCTCGTTCCCTCTCCGCGCGGCCGCCGAGATGTCTCACCGATGCCTCAGTCCTGGTGCCGACCTGTCAGCTGGGGTCCCCACGAGTTAGCACAGACTCGTGGATAGCATGCGGCGCGTGCCAAGCATGTTCACCCTTTCCCGCTCCCTGTCTCTCTCCTTTTGCCACCCACTTTCTCTCTCTCTCTCTCTC